AAATAATCTATTACTTCAGTTTTACGAAAACAAAACATGTGAAATTCATACAGATTATTGAGTTTCTATTGGCAAAAACTCCTATTTTAGTCTATCCAAAGGGAAAATCATGAAATCCTTAAATCTTGAATTCCCACTAATACCAAGGATTATCTATCATTTTTAAGCATTCAAAGGATTCTTCAGAATTCCCTATGATTCCTCACGGTTCTCTGGAATGCCTCAGGGTTTCCTATGATTCTATGGAATTCTCTTGAAAGGATGTGAGTGTGAATATGGAGCGGGTGTAGCTTTTCTGTCATCCATGTAGGGTGTGGGTATGGGTGTATAGATAAAGTTATTGCGTACAGCCCACACCCACCCACACCCACATAAATCATACACCGTTTACTATCAACTGATAACAAAATTGTTTTTTCTTACGTTCAAATTCTATTATAACTCATTTTATTGTAAAATCCAAACAATAAAAAATGAAATGATTTTTAAATTGATGACATGCAAAATCTGAATATATTTCAAACTAGAACTAACGAAATCAGTGAATATGTTGGAAAAATTCGATATAAAAGAAAATTTCATTCACGACAAAATCCAAGTTCATCGCAATTTTTCACAGTACCAGTTAAATCTTAGTTAGTTTTAGTCAAAGTTAGGATTCTTACACAAAATATTTCAGAAAAATCAACAATGTTTTGTTTTCAACATTTAGAAAAACCAGATTCTAATCAAGTTCATAAGTAAAAAACTTTTGTAATTGAGAGCAGTTCAATACTGTTTAAAACAAATGAGAATGATTCATTTCAATGAAATTGACGTTTATTTCTACTCCTTACTTTCGTTTCATTTCAGTACCAATGCGTGCAAGTTCCATTGATATTCATCCGAACGCAAAATGGACACGGAATGGTATCACTGTTGCTGGAGGAAATGGACTAGGCAGTAAAACCAATCAACTCCTTTTTCCATATGGTTTGTACGTCGACGAAGATCAAACGATTTACGTCGCTGACGCTTCAAATAACCGTATTGTGGAATGGAAATCTGGTGCAACGAATGGAAAAGTAGTTGCTGGTAGAAATGGATCAGGTAATGGAGCTGATCAGTTAAACTACCCATTTGATGTGATTATCGACAAAGAGAGCGATAGCTTCATCATCAGCGATTGGAGGAATAGAAGAGTAGTTCGATGGCCTCGTCGAAATGGTACTAGTGGAGAAACAATTATTTCAAATATCGATTGCCGGGGTTTGACAATGGACGGCAATGGTTCTCTCTATGTCGTTGATGCAGAAGAACGTCAAGTGAGACGATATAAAATTGGTGACACTAAAGGAACAGTAGTTGCAGGTGGTAATGGAAAAGGAAATCGTCTCGATCAACTCTCTAAGCCCACCTACGTATTTGTCGATCGAGATCATTCAGTTTATGTGTCTGATTGTTACAATCATCGTGTAATGAAATGGGAAGAACGTGCAAAACAAGGCATTATCGTAGCCGGTGGTCAAGGAGAAGGAAAAAGTCTTACACAATTGAATCATCCTGAAGGAGTCGTTGTCGATCAATTGGGTACTGTCTATGTGGCTGAGTGGGGGAATCATCAAATCATGCGTTGGCCAAAAGGAGCCACACAAGGAAGTGTCATTGTTGGTGGAAACGGTGAAGGAGCACAATCGAATCAACTCAATGGTCCCATTGGTTTATCATTCGATCGACATGGCAATCTCTATGTCGTCGATTACCGGAATCATCGAATACAAAAATTTAATACCGAATGAAATTCAATACGATGATGAATTTTATTTTTTTTGTTCTCTTTCTCTTTCAAATAAATCGTGATTGAATGGAAAAATGAATTCATTGCTATTCTATTCACGCGCGCGCGACCAGGAGCCATCCTGGTGAAGTCGTGGCGAGCGTAAAGCTCATGCACGCGTGGAAAGACGCACATCATCCACATGCACCCATCCGATGTCATATGCCAGTGAGACTGGGGGCCCGATCGTGTGCCACGGACACCAAGACAGTTCCTAGCCA